ATAATCCAAAACCTCCATTAATTAACAATTCGGGAATCCATCTAGTGGACCCCTAATAATATCCCAAACTGAAACGGAAACAACTGAAATAAAAATCAAAAGCTAAACATAAAAAGCAGTCCTACGTAATCGGAGGAATGAGTGACTGTATCTACTCAGTACGATCAAGCTCTAAGCCTAGAACTGACGAACACCTAGAAAAAATATAAGAGTAGGTCAGGCTCACATGCAAGTTCTATATTACAACAATCCATACAGAAACCCGATACGCAGATACATCCTAGATAGTTCAAAAATAACTAAAGTAGTCCATATAAATATAAATACACACTATAGGATGCTTACTAGCCCAATAGGTCTGTCTCAGCCTAAGTAGAGATACCATGCAAATCGCACATAACGTGGTCATATGTACCTAGATAGACCAGGGAATAACAACTATGTCCAGTTATCTATCCTAGGCGATATACGTATCCTAACCATGATTCTGAGACTCAAGCCCATATCACGGTACCATAATCGTAAATATATAAAGTCCGTATAAGCCTAATACAAAATATCATCCATCTGGTATAGTGGCCTGACATATGTATAAAAATCCATCTAGAATCAAAGTATGTTATTCAATTGTTTATTGACTTGACACCAATATGAGTAGGACTTAACCTTTATGGTTAATCCATACCTCATTCTAGAATAGGTAGGACTTAGTGTTTGAACTAATCCATCCCTAGTATGCCACCGTCCCATACCGGTGCGTATAATCCTCCAACTAACATAGTTGATAAAACAGTAATAAGTACTCATCAACCATACTCCGAGATATGCATAAATAAATTTTAATACATATATGACCATATTAGGCATTCATTATAAGGCCTAAAAATCATGTTCAAATCCTTTAAATTGCTAAAACAAAGCTAAACATTTAAATCCTCCAAACAGTCCATAAATTGATTTAGTTTACATAAATTAAAACATCAAGTTCTCCAATTTAAGCATAAGTATTTCAGATGATCAACTATCCTTATTACAGTGCTGCAACATGATTAACAGTATTAAATCATGTAAATATGAATTGTTAAAAATTTAGTAAGCAATTTAAATTAATTGACCAACCTTCCATATGCAAGTTTACTGTTTAACCTTATGTTGTTTTATGCTTCAATATATTAATATTAACATGCTTCCCAGTAGTTTTTTACATGTCTGTAACAGGTATATACATCATTCACAGCAACTAAAACAACTTAGATAGTCCCCTACTGACCAAACCAAACTCAGAAACACAAAAAACCAAAGAAAGGATGAGGGAGCCACCTCCCAAAACAAGGGAGCCGGTTCTCCCCTTGGTGGAGCTGGCTCCACCCTTGTGGGAGCCGGCTCTCTCATCCCTAGAGCCGGCTCCCTCCTTTGGAGAGCCGGCTCTCTCCCTCTGAGAGTCGTAATGCCTAAATTGTTCATCTTCTTCGCCTCTGGCGAAGTTCAGAGCCTCTGTACTGTTTTATTTAAATACCTAGGATTCAATTTATGTCCCAGAATTAATTATAAGAAGTCTCCGTGTATCATCAACATGAATTTAGAACAAATTTGTAATCAACCAAATCAAGATTTAAGCAAGAACATGTATCAACATCAAACAGTTTAATTCAACATATTTAAATTCAATGCAAACATGCTTAAAAGATCAGTTTTAATGTCAATTTAAAACCCTGGAGACTACCTAGGCTTGCACAGAACACAGGTTTAAGGGAAGGAGTTAGAATAGGAACTTGCCTTTAGGTTTCAGTTCAAAACTTTAAACCGTCTGCTCTAGTAACTCCGGTGACCTTAATTGTTTTCTCTGACCTCTGTTTTTCCACTCAAGCCCTCTCTATTTCTCTCTACCTCCAGTTACGGGAAAAGGGTTCTAAAACCCTTGCAGACACAAACAGAAAATATATATAGGCGTCTCACCCTAAGTCTAACTATCACGGTATATATATATAAGCTTTAATTAAACCTAATTCTAAGTTGGCTACCTTATCCCACGAGAACTCGTAAACATAAAACCCTAAAAATATGTTATACAATTAAACAATTAGTAAACTAATTTAAACGAATAAATCAAATAATGCATATAAATAAATTAAATAACACAATATAAACCATTAAACAATTAATTTAATTAAATAACAACAATTACACAAATAATTCAATTAAATAAACAATTAATCAATTTAAATAAAATAAACACGCAAATAAATAAATAAGCAAATAACCAAATAAAAAATGCAATTAAAACAATTAATTAAATCAATAATGCAATTAAAACAATTAATTAAATACCGGGACTATCATTTTAAAATTAGGGGTATTACAGTTCATGGTTGCCCCTAGATCTACTCATTTGCTCCAGTTCTTCGCATCCTTCGCTAACTCAAAGGCACTATGTTTCGTGGGCTTTATTTTTCTTATTAGTCGTCACTTGTTCTTGATGCCTATTTAGATGTCGACTTGGTAGGAGATCCTACAGATCGTCGTTCCATTACAGGCTATTGTTTCTTTCTTGGTGATGGTTGCTCGATCTAGCAAAGAAGCTGAGTATAGGGAACTTGCTGATACTACTTTCGAGCTTCTGTGATTGCGCTGGCTCCTTCAGGACATGGGAGTTTCTTTATGCACTGCCATTCATATCTATTGTGATAATCGGAGTGCAATCCAAATTGCATATAATTATGTATTTCACGAACGCACCAACCAAATTAAGATTGATTGCCATTTTGTTCGTTATCATCTTCTTCAGAAGACCTTACAGTTGCGGTCTATTACTTCTCATGATCAGATGGTTGATATCTTCACCAAATCGTTTCTGTCAGGCTGCTTCAAGGATCTTGTTTCCAAACTCAAGATGACTTCATATCACCCACATTGACTTTGAAGGGGGCTGTTAGAGAATATTGTGTATTGTATATTAAGGTTAGGGTTAGCCGTCTTCACCTACCCTTGTTACCATGTATAGCATTACCATATAGGGGTATACTTGTTATTCACACATAACCTCTCTTATATAAATTCCTTTGTACTCTTATATTCATCATCTCATATCAATATAGTATATTGTATTTCTCACTCTCTATACTTCTAACACAACATAGGAGTGATGCTGATTGTACAGGGAACAATGTATGTAAAGCAGGTATATTTTAATTTTATTTATTTATTTATTTTTATTATTATTATTTTTTAAATATAGTATACATTTTATCATGGGCAAAAACCATGGTATAATCTAAAACATTCTACCATGAGATGAAACTCAGCGGTAGAAATTCTATCTAGTACCATGGTTCCATCTTTTGGTAACAACAATTTCTACAACGGCCGAGGGCTCCACCTGAGGTGAAAAGCCCTCCAGAAACTACTACGGGGATAATATTACGGCTCAAAATCGTGGTAGAAAGTGATTTTGACCATAGTTAAAAGCCAATTTTTTTTTGCAATGAGAACGTGTTTGAAATCAGAATTTTAGTGGCGAAATTGAGTCTTGACAACATTGAAAATTATGAAATGATGTCTTTTATTCATTTGAAATTTAGTCTCGAAATCATCTTGAAGTGGGAGAGTTTTAGAGAGAAAGGTGAAATGAGGAAGCGAAGGAGATCGAGATACTAGCCGTAACAAATGAATAGAGAGAGCGCGAGATTAAGCCCTATCAGATGAACACAGATCGAGAGACAGAGAAAGGAGTGGAGAGAGGGAGAAGCTCTATCTTGTGCAGTGCGATATGGATTTGGTGCTGTGAATTAAGAGAAGAACAGCGCGTTTTCTTGTGCAGTGAAGAGAAGAAATTCAATGCGTTTGAACAATCCTTAGAGGGATAACATGGCGCTTACTAATTCTTTTCTTACACCAGATCCATGAGAAAAATCAATCGTGGGAGAATTATTTACGCGGGAAAAATATTAACAGACTGGCCCTCACCAAGTCTCCTCCTGCAGCAGGCTCATGCATGAGGAAATAGAAAGGATGGAGGAAGAAATAGAAAGGAAAGTAATCGATCGATATAAAATTAAAAGTTTGCCAAAAAAAAAAAAAAAATTCAAATTTCTTCTCTAGCTAGCATTAGTCCTAGCATTTCTGATTGTTCGTTTCTGTTTTTACATATGTGTTTAAGAGCATGAACGGTGGAGAGCATTGACATTTGTTAGGTCATTAATAAAAGTTGAGATGGAAATTGGTTATAAGATATGGCAATGCACAGACCATGAATAGGTAAAAATGTGTAGCTATCTAGCTCAAACTAAAAATCGAATATTGCCAGCAAACCACGACATAAATAGGTTAATGAAAAAATTGGTGGGAGAGTATGGGTTAGGATCACCTATGGCTACATGTTTTACAACTCCATGGGCATCCAATCACTCCCTGCCAAAATTATGTTTAGAAAATAAATTTACCAAGTTGAATTACTAGCAGACCCTTGATTTTTTATGAAATGACTTGTATACCCCTGCATAAAAGGTGTAGCATAAAACAGCCAAAAATAGGTAAACAAATTTCAAGAATAGAGAATTCCAGTCTTAATTCCCCTACTTTGTAGGAGGTGATGGGGGAAGACAGCTCGCCGTTTCTTTGTTAGAGAAAGTATTCATGCACATCATCTTTTTTATTTGCTTCTTTTTGAGAAATCCCCCCTGCCCTTCTCCTAAAGGTACCTTCCACAGTACTCTCTCTCTATATCTCTTCCTCTATCTTCTTCTTCCATTTCTTCTTCCTCTCACTGTCAATCTCTCTGTCAAAAAAACATTTTTATTTTATTTTTTATTTTGTTAAGTAAATAAATTTATTCAACAATGGAAGTAAATGATTACAGATGATGACCATGCATGTGTTTTTTCTTACATTGCTTGCTAGGTAGCTAAAATGTCATGTTATGAAATTAAATTTATTGGGTTAATATGGACAATGTAGGCTGTTCATGATATATATTTGAATTTGTTTGAATGTTGAATAGGGTCATCTATTTGGAGGAGAGGAGGGGCAAGCCCGGTGCACTTTTGACGTAGATCATGGCGCCCAAGAGATTACTTTTAGAAGATTCAAACCCATCCGGCGACTCTCAATCTTCCGATTCTCCACCTCAGTCATCCTCCTCCTCATCGCAATCACAATCACAATCGCCACCCAACAACGACAATAACAATAATTCACCTCCATCAGGTAGCAGCTCGCAATCCCCACCTCAAAACTCGAATTCGGATTCCCAATCCCCTCCCCAAAACTCAAATTCCTCACCTCCTTCCAAGAACTCAGGTTCCTCCTCCTCATCTCCTCCCCAAAACAACAACAACAACAATAATCAGAACAACAACAATAACCAGAACAACAACAACAGTGGGAGCAACAACAGCAATGGCAGCGGCAACAGCAACAATAATCAGAACAACAACAACGGCAACAACAACAGCAACGGCAACAATAATCAGAACAACAACAACAACGGCGGCAGCAACAACAATAACAAGAACAACAATGGCAACAGCAATAATCAGAACAACAACAATAATCAGAACAACCAGAACAACAATAACCAGAACAACAACAACAACAAGAATAACCAGAACAACAATAACAACAATAAGGGTAATTCACATAGCCCACCTCCACCCCCTCCTCCACCACCGCCAAGCAATGGGAATAATCGGTCTCCACCACCTCCTCCACCACTTGATTCTTCCGGTGAAAGTACTAAATCAAGTTCATCTGATTCGTCCAACTCAAAGATCATCATCGGAGCAGCAGTGGGCGGAGGGTTATTGCTCATCATCATGATAGTCCTAATAGTGTCTTGTGCTAGAAAGAAGAGGAGAAAACCCCATAATCATATGCAATATTACGGGGATAACTCGAATGGTGGCAGAAGTATGAAACTCACACTCTACTTTTTAACTTGCTGTCCATAATATACAATGTATGCATGTAAATGTGTATATATAGCATTTATTAATTTTCCATTGTTTTAAGCAGGTAGTGACTATTACAACAGTGGGCAACAAGGGAATTGGTACAATAAAGCCCAACCTACTGCGGACCATGTTGTTAAGATAAATTCACCACCTAATGTGAGTGCAGAACATGGTTGGGCGGCTATGCCTCCGCCTCCACCACCGCCGATGATGAGCAGCAGCGAGTTGAGTTCAGCTAACTTCTCCGGTCCATACCAACCGCCTTTGCCACCCCCGCACCCGTCCATGGCTCTAGGGTTTAACAACAGCACCTTCACCTATGATGATCTAGCAGCCGCCACCGGAGGGTTCTCAAAGACTAACCTGTTGGGACAGGGTGGATTCGGGTTCGTTCACAAAGGGGTTTTGCCTAATGGCAAGGAGATTGCTGTGAAGAGTCTGAAATCCGGTAGTGGGCAAGGAGAGAGGGAATTTCAAGCCGAAGTTGATATTATTAGCCGCGTCCATCACCGCCACCTTGTGTCGCTTGTTGGGTATTGTATTGCAGGGGCTCAGAGGATGTTGGTTTATGAATTTGTTCCTAATGGTACCCTGGAATACCATCTTCATGGTATGATCTATGTACACTCCTATATTAATTAATTATTAGGTACTCGTAAGCTTCCTCTATCATACTTGACTTGGGTGTTCATAGTATTCATGTCATGTCCAATTTGCAGGAAAAGATGCCCCGAACATGGACTGGCCTACTAGGCTCAAAATTGCATTGGGAGCGGCCAAAGGGTTCGCTTACCTTCATGAAGATTGTAAGTTATTCAAACTCCCTCTTTTTTTTTTTTTTTTTTTTAAGAACTCTACTTGGTATCTAGGGCTTTGTCCCGACTACTCCCAGGATCCGTGCAAGACACCTCCCACATAGAATTGGTAAAGCTTGGTTATGTCGAGGGCATGGTTCCAAAGGATTCGAACCTGAGACTTCATGAGGTACTCAATCTCAAGGCTGCACCACTGGAGCAAACCCCTTGGGCTTCAAGCTCCTTCTCTTTCTCAAAGGGTTCCCTTACCTTTATCTATCATCATCGTCGTCATCGTTGTCTTCATACCATATGGATAGAGTCGGCCACATGAATTTTCCTTTTTCATTTGCTTACCTTCATGAATATTTTTGAGTTATTCAGTTTCTCAACTATCATTTTGTTATGTGCAGGCCACCCTAGAATTATCCACAGAGACATTAAAGCCGCGAATATTTTGCTAGAGAATAACTTTGAAGCCAAGGTACTTTCCCCATTTCTACTTAGGCTCGCAGAAGCACCATTTTAAAAGGATTAATTTGTTACATTTTGTCTAAACTGATTAATTATGCTCAATTGCTACTGGTTCAGGTGGCAGATTTTGGATTGGCTAAGCCTAATTCGGACAACATCACTCATGTATCAACACGTATTATGGGAACATTTGGGTAAGAAACATCAAACCCGGTTCTATGAGATCCATCTGAACTTTTGGTGCACTAAGTAATCAAAAATATTAAACCCTAATCATTTCTTCACATCTGAAACCAATTTCAGATTGATATTTTCCTAGTGTAGACAAATTATCGCCAACACAGTGGATGAAGCTAGGTTTGCTGCAATTTAATTAATTTTTCTTTGATGTCACTAATATGTGCATGCAGGTACTTGGCACCTGAGTATGCATCAAGCGGCAAGCTAACTGAGAAATCTGACGTTTATTCATATGGCGTCATGCTTTTGGAACTAATCACTGGACGAAAACCAGTGGATATGACTAATTATGACGACGACACCCTAGTAGATTGGGTATGATCGGAATTTTTTATTTTATTTTTTCTTTCCAAAAGTTCAAGCAAACACAAACACACCCACAATAATGTCCTTTGTAGGGACTCGGACACCCAATTTATAATCTTTGTGCATTGTTGGAAGAAATGAAGTATATCCTATTTATAATTTGTTCGTCTACTTGATTGGTGATTTATGCACAAACAGGCTAGGCCTATTCTGATGCGTGCAGCCGAAGGAGGTGAGTATGCAAAGCTGGTGGATCCACGCTTGGGAGACAACTATGACCCTGATGAGATGCTGCGGATGGTAGCATGTGGTGCTGCTTGCATTAGACATTCTGCAAGGAGGCGACCGCGAATGAGCCAGGTTAATTGAAAGCCCTTGTTAATTAATCAAAATTTTCTGCTAATATTGTTTTTAAGCACTTCTTAGGACACACGTTCCTGATCATGGGACATAAATAACATCCTCTTAGTTCATTGAAAATATAGATAAAGTGTTGATAATGGCTTTTAAGGCATGACCTAGATCATTATTAATCTATTGTCACCTTTTCTCTATCAAGAGAATATATACTTATAGCACATCATTATTAGTACATGTTTCATATTCTGATATAAGTGCCATAATATATGACCTAGATCAACATCATTTTCTGATTTACTGTTTCCAAAGGAATTTTTTTTTTTGTTTTTTCCCCAGAAAGTTCAAACAAATGCATACACACCCATAATATTGCCCCTAGTAATTCTTACACACTCATGCACATTGGTAAGGTGACAAAAATGGATAAGCAATGTTATGTATATATGTGAAAACAGATTGTACGTGCATTGGAGGGTGATGTTTCGCTGGACGCCTTGAACGAGGGGGTGAAATCAGGCCAGAATTCGTCCCACGCCTCGAGTGGGGCATCAGACTATGACGGGAATGGAAACGTGGACATGAAGAAATTCAGGAAGGTGGTATTGGCAAATAATAGCGAGGAATTCTCGAGCGGTGAGCACTTGACGTCCAGCGAGTATGTCATCCACCGTTCCCCTTTAGGTGGCGTTGACTCGCACGAAATAGGCCGCAGGCACAGCCCTTGAGCAAACTCACGCAGTAACATGCAAATTCGGAAAAAAAGAAAAAGAAAAAAAAAGGAGATGATATCAAAACAAGTTCTTTCTTTAGCTGTCCAGGTGAAATAGAGAAACAAGGGGGTTCCTAACAATGCACATTCACCAATTTGCACTTTGAGAACTAGAGATTTCAGGATAACTAACTTGGTCTGAATGGAACTTATAACACCCCCTTGGTCTGAGATAAAAAAAAATAGGTTATGGTGGTGGTGAAGGCATCTACCTACAGGACGCATGCAGTTTCTCATTTTGTAACTATGTTCATTAGGGGAGTCGTTCTAATATGTCCGGGATTTGGATTGATCTATATATGGATCTGTGTTATTGTACTGTTTTCAATGTATAACTATTTATATGGTTGTATATTATTTGGGATTTATATTTTTTGGTACGTGTTAGTAGGAATTCAAGTTTTGGAGACCATAAGTGCTCCATTTTCCGTCTTTTCTCTCTTCCTTTGCTATATCTATATATATATATATATATATATATATTGATTACTCTACATTTTAATTGCTAATTGGATGAAATGACCTTAGCTAGGTCTTTTTAGAATTGTCATTTCCAGCTTGTAGGCTTTGCTATTAATGTAGTTGGTGTTGATGACATTGGGCTCATGACTTCATATAATCTTAATGTATATATGTCAGAATTGTGGAGTGGTGTAGAAGAAAATATTGTCTGCAAGTGCTTCAACTATAAAGAACCATAACTATTTTGATTTATAAAAGGACTAATCTCTTGTTTACACAAAGGAGCTCTGCACGTACTACGGTTCGCAATACAATAAAATCTTGAAGGCGTGCAATAAGATTAATTAGGAGAGGCACATCAGACTGGTTCAGAATGTCTGTAAACAACTTTTTTTTTTTTTTTTTTGAAAGGTAAAGATAAATTTATTGATAAAGGAAAATTTTACATTGAAAGTTAGCACAGGCTAACCAAGCAAGAGACAACCCAAACAGGCCCACAGCCTAGACAGCCCAATACGAAACAAGAAACCAATATAGGTTGAATCACTATGCAGTGAGCATGGAAGATGTGAACTCCCCGAAATCCCCTTCAAATTCTGTCAGGTGGTTGAGCAGGTGGACGAATAACTGAAGAAGGGAGGTCTCATTCCTCAATAACACGCCTTGCAGATGGAGAGTCTGAGACTACTGAGGATATGAGTTTCATCCTAATCATGTCCAATGTTTGATGTAGCAGAGTGTTTTGGGACTGAAACTTCTTTTGAAAGATCCTTCTATTGCGCTCCATCCATATGTTGTAGACCAGAGCAGCCAGAGCGAGTTTTGAGGTTGATCTGTTGTAGAATCCTGAGTTGCTACTTCAATGATGTGATGCCCAGTTGATAAGGTTAGGCTATGAGGATGGCTTGATGTGGAATCCACATTTTGATTGGATAAATGTCCATAACGGTTTTGTGAACTCACATTCGAAGAACAGGTGGTTGTGGTTCTCAAGTTCGGAGTTACAAAGGGAAAATAGTGTGGCATTGATGTGGGCTGTGCACCCTCTATTGAGGGTTGGGAGTTTCTGCTGTATGGCTACCCACAGAGTGAATGAGTGCTTGGGTATTGAGTTTTTAGACCAAACTAAGTGTGTCCAAGGCATGGTAGATAAGTGGTTGTTAAAGTGCTTCATTGTCTTTGCAATTGAGAATGTTCCAGTGGAGCAAGGTCACCATACAACTTATTCTTCCTTGTCTGGGCATGGTAATGGAACATTGTTGGCCTGCTATAATTGTGGAAGTAAATTGGTGATAGCTAGTGGGAAGTGCAACATGGAGTTGGATATAAAGGAGGACAACTTTGTTTTGGTGTCGATGGAAGTATCACTTAGCTGTTGTGAGGAGACAAGTAGGTGGAGAGGGCCAAGGTTGCACCAGTTGTCAAACCAGAAATTGGCACTTGTTCCATTGCCAATTTCAAGCTTGACAAGGGGCTTAATTACTGTTCTACGAGAGAGAAGTCTTATCCAAGTCCAGGAGCATTGACCAGGTACTTTTACTTCCCAAATGCTTCTTCCCTTGAGCAAGAATGTGTTGATCCACTTTACCCAAATCATTTACTTAGAGCTAATGATATTCCAGAAGTGTTTCATGATAGCTACTTCATTCCAGAGAGCAAGGTTGGGGATGCCAAGACCACCAGCCCTTCTAGGAAGGCAACAAAGTTCCCATGCCACCTTGGAACCTGTCTTCTTTAATGAAGGTCCAGATCAGAGAAAGGACCTAAAAATGCTATTCATTTCATCAATGATACTCATTGGCAAGATGAATTTTGAGCTCTAATATAGCTGAGTGGAGAAAAGAACTGCTCTAATAAGCTGCAATCTACCAATAAAGGAGAGATCTTTGCTAGTCCAGTGATTGATTCTATTGCAAACTTTGTTAATCAGCACTCTGCAATCATTTGCCTTCAACATGGAAGTGATCAATGGAACTCCAAGATATTTCACGAGTAATGTCCCTTCCTGAAATCCAAGTAGTGAGAGAATATATCCTCTGCTTTCCATTTGCTCATTAACACCTGTAATGAAACATTGACTTTTGCTATGGTTGATGTGTAATCTAGAGAGTGAAGAGAATGAGTCAATAGCATGCTTGATTGTTGTGAGAGATGGAATGCTTGCATGTGAGAAGACCATAAGGTCATCAACAAAGATAAGGTGAGTGAGCTTTAATTCCTTGCACCTCCAGTGATGTTTAAATGGCATTTCAGCTGTGCACTTGTTTAAGAGTAATGAGAAAACCTGCATAACAATCACAAAGAGAAAAGGTGACAAGGGGTCACCTTGTCTTAACCCCTTGATACTGTTAAAGAAACCATTGAACTCTCCATTAATAGAAATGGTAAATGATGGTGTAGTGATACAGGTTTGGATCCAATGGATGAATAGATGTGGAAACCCCATCAGTTTCATTGATTGCAGGAGGAAGGTCCATGAGACTGAGTCAAAGGCTCTTCTGAGATCAATCTTTAGGGCACACCAAGGTGAGTTTGAATGCTTGTGATAGCCATTGAGTAACTCTTGTGCGAGTAAAATAATATCATCAATTTGCCTACCTTGAATGAAGACTGACTGAGCCTGGTCAATGATGTGGGGAAGGGTGGGCTTGAGCTTATTTGTAAGGAGTTTAGATATACATTTGTATATAGTGGAGCAGTAGGCTATTGGTCTAAAATCAGTGATGGTGGTGGGGTTTGGGACCTTAGGGATAAGAGAGATAGAGGTAGAATTAACCTCTTTAAGCAGCTTTCCTATGGTAAAGAACTGATTAATAGCATTTGTGACATCTTGGCCTATAATTGGCCCTACTTTTTGGAAAAAAAAGGGCATTGTAACCATCTGGCCCTAGAGCTTTGTCGCAGTTGAGCGAGAACATACATTGTTGAATTTCAGTGCCTGTGGGAATGGAACATAGGGACTCATTGAAGGATGCAGGGAGAGTGGGAGCAATCAAGGTGCCCAATTGATCCTAGTCTACATTGGTCTGTGGGTTCATGCCAAGGCAAACTTAAAAGTGTGAGATGATTTCATTTTTGATGGCTGGTTGTATGTCAAAAATGGTTCCATTAGATGTTGAGAGAGAAGCTATTTTGTTTCTGTTTTGTCTGGAAGCAATGGACTTGAAGAAGAAAGAGGTATTTCAGTCTCCCCCCTTAAGCCATTGCACTCTTGATTTCTGTCTGTAAACTTGTTCCTCGATGAGTTTCAGTGATGTGTAGGATTGCAAAAGCAATTTTTCTTGGCCTCTTAGAGTATAGTCATCAGGAGAAGCATCCAAAGCAAGCTGGTAGTTAGAAAGCACTGCTTTGGCTAATATAACATCATTCTGCAATGTACTAAGTGGTCTTGAAAACTTTGATTTTAGTGGTTGCTTGAGACTCTTCAATTTTGAGACCACCTGGACCAAATTGTGTCCCTCAATATGGTTATTCCAGTGAAGCTACACTAAGGGGATGAAATCATCATGGTCACTCCAACAATTGAAGTACCTGAAGGGGATTCTTCTCTGAGGTTTCGGATTGCCAAGGTTAATGATTATGGCACTATGATTAGAAACTCCAGGGGGGAGAAAGTTATAGTGGGAGAGGGGAAAGGAGTGGCTCCAAGTGTCATTAATAAGGACCCTATCGAGCTTCCTAGAGATGTTAGATACACCAGGACTTTTGTTTGACCAAGAGTGAAGAATACCTGAAAATTGAAGGTCCTCAAGGTTAGAAGTGTGAAGGCATTTTCTAAAGTCCACCATTGATTTAGTTGTCTTCCCTGAGCCTCTATGGTCTTCAAATGTAGACTTGATGGTATTAAAGTCCCCTCCAAGGATCCAAGGAGAGGAAGAGATGATAGATGATTGTTTCACAATATCATCCCAAATAATTTCCCTTTCTGAAGCTTCATTTGCAGCATAGATGAAAGAAGTGAAAAATGTGGACCTGCAATTTAGGATGGTCATATAGCAGTGTATAGCCTGTTTTGTGCATTGAAAGATTTGCAAGTCAACAACGTGGGGGTTCTAAAGGACCCAGATCTTTCCCAAAGAAGAGTGGTTGTAGTTATTTGCTAGCTTCCAGTGACTAGCAATGTAATTATGGACATTGTCAACATTGGCTGGTTGAACCTTGGTTTTAAGAATGGCAGCAATATCTGCTCTATTTTCTGAAATAAGAAGCTTAACTTCATCTTGCTTCAGGGTGCTATTCAAGCCCCTGATGTTCCAAATGGCAATAACTACCATTTGAGAAGTCTGCCTTTTGGGAATATGTTCCCTCTAAGAGAGATTCTCTTAGAATGCTTTCTTTTGGATGAGCATCCTTTCTTGGTCTTACCTTTGTTTAAGGTGATGGGAAGACTATTGGTTGATTCATCTTCAGAGAGGCTGGTATATTCATCTGCAGCAGGTAGTAGTTGCTGGTTCAGCTCAATGGAATTCAGTGAGGTGTCACCTCTTTCAGCGATAAAGTCTAAAATGATTTTAGAGGATAAGATAGTAGGATTGTAGGAGCTTAGGTCAACCTTGAGGCTGTCTGTAGGCTTGAAGTAATGTGTGATTATATTCTTCCCCTATTGGAAACCTAAGGTGGTATAGGAAGGTGATGAAGAATCGGTTAATGCAATGGTGTTCATTGGAGGTGGGGAAGGTTGATTAGTTTTTGGAGGGCTCTTGTATGGAATTACTTTCCATTCCGAGGAAGGTTAGGAATTTTTTGCTGGGGATAACATGGCATGGCAGGTTTTTTATGAGTGGCCGCAGCAGTTACAGGTATAACAGATCACAGGGCAGTTCAAGTATTCAACAGTAACATTTTTGGTTTTTCCCGAGCTCTGGTGCAACTTAAGGATGGAGGGTAGGTCAGAGGTTGCATTAAT